CGTATAATATCGCAGACATTAAACCGGAGCCCGAGGTCCTACAGGAATAGCCGAGATGTGCTCCTTTCACGTGACACGAATACCTAATAAGAATTTCCATCGGATGTAAACTGCTCACACGTCTCGTTCGCGCGGCTACGGAATCCTCCGAGCGGAAGGAGAAACGTAACGCAGCCCCCGGAAGACAGAAACCGTTTAAACCGTTCCTCCAACCGGATAAACGTAGCAAAAATACGAGAGGAGAGGGTGTCCTCGTTTCCAACTCGGTTCACCGTGCTTCTCTCCTAGGACGATTGTGTGACCCTGTGCGAATCGAACTTCCGCGTGTTCGTCGCTAGCGGGTGGAGCTAGCACGACGGATAGATAAAAATAAAGAATTTATTGACCGGTAATGAATGGACGGTTGTATATAGGAGTTTATTGGGATGAGAGAGTTTATTTAGATACATCGCGTGATACATATATACATATTAGCTCATTTTCGTTCTATTTTATTTTTATTTTTCAATTTTAATTTAGTTGTTTATTCGTAGACTTAGTTATTATATAATTAGCTTTTATTATTATATTGTATTAATATAATACTATGAATAAACAACTAAATTCAATGTAATATATTATATTATGATTGCACGAATATACTGAATTCTTGCAAAGGCACCCCCATAGAATTGCTATGATTATATTCTAGTTTCGTAATCATTACTCGAATAAATACCACCGTAAACGCATTAATCTCTCGCGAATAGCAAATGACATGTTCAATTTTTCAATCTTAAGTTTCAAAATAAGCTTTTCGAACAGTATTGTCCGAGATTCTGCTCGAACGAAACGGAGGGAACGAAGATCGAGCGAAACGCGCGAAACGAGAGAACCGAGAAAAGTCGAAACAGGGAAAGTGGAGGCGGGCGATTCTGCCGGGCAGTTGAACAGAGAAAAGAACCGTAACGAAGAACATGTCCGTTTGATTGCAGGAGGATGCAGCCAGGAGCGACGGTGGTTCTTGCCACGGTCTGGCTGGCGGTGTATGCGAACCTGGTGGGGACACTCCGCATTAACTTCACCGCCGATCAATACTCCCCTTTGGCCCCGCAACACCAGCGGCATGAAGTTTATCGAAGAGCCGAGGGCCAACCTTCGGAGTGGAAGGATCCGAATTCGGGTGAGAATCAGCGTGCTCGAGCTTTCGATCGGCTCGCGAAGGTCGATCTCTCGAACAGCATGTGCCCGCGCTCCTATATCGTCTGGCATTCGTTACATTAGTAATTTAATTCTGTCACTCTCTGATATATATATATATATCTTTTTCTCATTCTCTCTCTCTCTCTCTCTCTGTCTCTCCGTTTCTCTGCGACCTTGACGCCGGGGCGCTGACGCGTTAACATGGCTCGTTTCTGATGTAACAACCCCTGAGAATCGGATGCCAGCCACCGGATAACGAAGTTCTGTTCGCGGAATGATTCAGACGAGCGCGATGTGAGCTAGTGATTCCATTCGTCGCGGGATTTCTGTTTCTCTCTCTGCACGCTTCAGAGACATTTCAGACGCGTTACAGCAACAACATTTTCGGTTTCGTATACGATCTATGTCAAGGACCATTATTCACAGTCTCTCTTTCTTTTCTCTTCCGTTTAACTAAAATCTCATCGAACGCCTGCAGCTTTAATTCTATTCAATTAATACGTTGAATGCCACGCTGAATTTCTTATTACACAACATATTTGATAGATTTATTTCAATGGGGGATGACCACCCGGCGCTGAAATGCGTTTTCACTTCGATTTTCACTTATTTTTTTACAATTACTTTTACGATTTCTACTATATAGTAAAATTGAAGTTTATCGAGAAAACTATGTCATGAAATGAAAAAAAAAAAAAAAAAAAAATGGCAAGAAAACCAAGATCGAGCGACGATTTTGTAGAAGATGTTATGAAAAAAAAATTCGAAACAATCGGGCAGAGCAAAAGCAAAGAAATTGTACCAAAGAAGTCGTCACATTATGAAGACTATATTGATTTTCCTTTTCTTTTTTTTGCAGTGTTTTTAATACAATGTATCACAACATGCGCGAATAATATTTACATATACATATTACAAATAAAATCATTTTTGTATGCTTTATATTGCATTAATTTCGTCACACGATTATAGTAATGAATATTGAAAAATTTCAAAGTTTATTAACATTTACGCGAATTATATGTTTTCGATTCGTCGGTCACCGGTGGCCTACAACGTGTTAATAAACGAAATAATGCTAAGACACAGTGGACGGTACGTGTTTTAGCTTTTTCACTCGAAGAAGCATGTTACAAGTTCCAAATGTCGTTACGTACACGCGACGGAAATCAATTACGAGGTTGAACGTTGTTGGTTGAATTGGTTCATTTGTTTGTTAAACGGTTATCCACGAATAAATGCAACGTCAAGTTTGATTGTTACCTTTAGTCCGTGATAGAACGCAGAATTAGCTTGGAAATCTATGTTTAACTCGATGCTTATGGTTATTCATGGAAGTGCCAGGCCTGTGTATTTTATTTATTTTGTTAAACGTGGCTTGGAATAAGCAGCGCGTTAAATGCTTTTTTAAATCCTCTATTTTCGAGTTGTAGTTGCTACAAACTGTTCACGCAAATTATTTTTCAATCTCCATGTTCAGAAATGTCAAAATTTATTTCAGAATATTCTTTTTCTCTTCTTTTTTCGTGACTTCTCTGATCTGAATATTTTTCTTCGCGCAGCAATCGAGAATTATTTTTGAAGATGAATCTTACATAACTCTGTTAAAGGTGGCAAGTTTTCGTTAACCATGGAGTATTTTTTTACTTCGTTAAAATTTCGAACAGCATTTATTTCGTAAACACGTTCACCAACAACGAGATGAATTCTAATGGGAACAGTTTAAACGGGCATTCGCAGCTATTCGAAAGCAACTGGCAACGCGTGTGAGAGTGTACCTTACAATTCGAGACCATTTCACCCGAAACGTTGTTTGGCCAACTCTTTGTCAAGATATCAGTCGCCAACTTGAACGCCACGTTCTGAATAGAATGGCGATAAAATCTTGAAACGCTTTGCTATTTAGATTTTCCATTGGGTCCTTTAACTTTCAACCACTGGTTGCGCGTTTCGAGTACCTGTTTACTGTACGCGAAATCAAAGATCGAAATTTCTCGCACTGTTTGCAAGTAATGACTTTTAGTCAATTTATTAAAATCAATTGTAGGATCAGATTAATTCTTTGATTAATAGAATCTCTTTAAAGAGGAGACTACTTTACTTGATTCCTGATTTTGATTTTTATTAATTAAATCCTTCAATTGTAAGTAACTTGAAACGTTTCACGTGATGTGCACTTGATCTTCCTGATCTAAGATGTATCTTTAAATTTCAACCTTCACTCGTTCCTTGTCCTTTCAATCTTAACAATCGAACAGAAATTTAGTTTACTCGTTGCTAATAAAAAAGTCTGCATGTTCAACTATTTTTCATCGCTGTGTCGTTTCAAAAATTGTCGACTTTTCTTACATCTGTTTTGTAAACAGTAATTTGTAAACTCGCGATTTCTCTGTTTTTCATTCGGATTAATTAGTCAAGGTGCTAATTTGACAGCGAAGATTAGGCAAACTGTTTTTGATATTTATTTTTTCAAATGTACACTTTTATTTCTTTCTCCGTATAAAGTTCAAAAATTACTGCGAAAACTGTCAA